AAAATATTGATAAAATAAGGCTAGGAGAAATACTTCAAATAATTTAAATCCCTACAATTACAATAATTTTCCATTTTATAATGCATATGGTTTTTGTTTTAATTAAATGCACAAATTTTCTGATAATATTCCCTTTTTTTTATAATTTACTTTTTAAATATTTTATATATTTTCGTTGTATTTTTGATTTCTTTCCGTGAAAAGAAAAAAAAGAGAAAAAAACATTAAAAAAGTGGTAAAATAATGTTTACTATTCGATTTTTATATAATATTTTTTCATGCATTTTAAGAAATATTAAATTATTTGAATTATTTCAAAATTTTTATTTCGTTAATATATTTTTTACAAAATCCTTAAATTTGTTGAATTGTTAGAAATCTCAACGGAAGAAAGCATCGAAAATATTTTTGAAATTATTAAAAAAAAAAATATTTTCAGGTATCAAATAACAACGGCTCATGGAAATAAACTAATAGTTTACCTTTTCAATTTCGTTTTATTATATTTATTTAGTTCATATATTGGAATAATCAAATGATATGATATTAAAAAATATGTCAACTTTTCTTCTAATCTTTTGATTATTTATTTTTTATCGTTTTTTTCTTTTTAAATAATTTCAATTGATAGTTTATCGAAGTAATGGAATCAAAAAATATATCAAATTTCTTGATTTGAAATGAAAAATGAATAAAAAACTTTCGCAAAAAAAGTTTTAAATAAAAATTTTAAGGCAATTTTTTTCACGAAAAATTCTTCATTTTTTCAATTTAGTTAAGCAAATATTTCTGCAACATTTCATTTCTTCTTATCAACAAAAAATTTCTAAAATTCATTCCAATTTTTAATTATTCTTGTCTAAATTGTTATTTAACTTCTAATTAATGTTTCGAGTGTTATCGACTTAATTTTTTTTCTTTTTTAAAAAAAAATAAATAATATCAATTGTTTTTAAAGGAAGATATGGGAATTTAAATATGTTAATGCAATCATTATTATGTTAGATAATACAATTAGAAGACATAACGAAAAAAATCTAGTTTTTTTTAATCGATAGAAATAATGAAAGATTTGAGTAAGCTTCGTTATCAGATATTGATAACAAATAATCAGAAATCGCCTACTTCA